CCACTGGAAGCAAAGCCCAAACCCAAGTCACTGCCATTGACTTGACTTGACTTGACTCCTAGCGACCCCTCCTTGGGTTTCCGAGGCAGTACCACTACGGAAGTAGATTGCCCCATCTTCCTTCCGAGGGGTGGATGTTGGGTTTGAACCGCCAGCCTCCTGGTTAGCAGTCAAGTGCCTTAGGTACTATCTAGGAGGGCTCATTTTAAGCCTGGCAGAGTGACAAAACTAGCCAATTCCAACATCAGAGTTCTACACGCCTTATTTGCATGGTCCCACCCTGTAATCCAGTGGGAGTTATAAAAATTATAGCTAGAAATTCCATGCCAAGGAACTCACTGAACCACAGCATTCAACAGCTGTTTCCTGCTCTCCTACTGTGTTTCAAGTTCTAAATCAGGAGTTGGAAAGGCCCCTGAAAGCCGCCGATCCCCTCATGGGAGGGAACAAAGGACACGGAACAGAACGGGGACTAACTACTGAGGTTCTCCAGAGACAGGAGTTTGTAGGCCTGCCCCTCAAACAGTATTCAGCCACTGAATGGAGCCAATTCTGACTCACGGACCCCATGTGTTACAGAGTAGAATCTCTCCGTGGGGTTTTCTTGGCTACAATCATTACGAAAGCAGACCACCAGCCTTTTCTTTGCAGGTATGTACCCCTGGGTGGGTGTTCAAATTCTCAACATTTGGGCCAGCAGACAAGGGCAAACTTAGTGTCACACAAGAACCCGTCCAGGACATCAAAACCCATTACCATTGAGTCTGTTCCAACACATAGCGACCCTATAGAACAGAGTAGAACTGCCCCATAGGGCTTCCGAGGTTATAATCTTTACAGAAACGAGCCCTGGTGGTGCATTGGTGAAGAGCTTGGCTACTCGACTGGGATCTTAAAAGCTTGCAAGCAGCTATCTAGATGCAACAATGGGTCTCTCCTCGTCTAGAGCAAAGAAGAATGAAGAAAACCAACAATTCATGGAAATAATTAGTCCAAGCAACTGGTACACCATGCAATCCACAGCCTATACCAGAAGAACTAGATGGTGCCCGACTACCAATGTCAACCACTCGGAGGGGGATCAATGTAGGAGATCCTGGATAGAGAGGGAGAACAATGTGGAACAAAACTCAAAGTCATTTGGGGAAAAAAAAAA